ATTTGTATATATCTACATTTTGCAGCTATTTTCTCTTTTGAAAAACTGAAATAATGCCAAACCCCATTTTAATGCAATTAAAAGCCTATAGATTTGGGTCCTGGGACAGGGCGTCTCATGCCCGGATCCCATATGCCCGCCATCATGGGCACATGGTGAGCCAGGCTTGGGCGGCCAGGGTGCCATTTGGTGCCAGGCTTTGTATGCTGGCCGCCCGGCAGGGGAGCTCTGGGATTTTGGTGGTTTGAATTGCTGCTTATGTGGCTCCACGTTGAACCCGATGTGTTTCTGCGAGGTGAATACATCCTAAAGTTTCCCAATGACAGTTACTCTTCCTTTAAAGAATGTGTTACCACTTAGCAATGCTGACCACCAAATACCAGTTCATGCTAAAGCTTTGGCACGGGTCTTGTCCAGTAGACACACTAATTGGATTAAGGCTACCGCCAAGGAGCACGTGGGCTGGAATGGGGGCTGCATTCTGATCAGGTAACAGTGAAATTGGCACAAGTGTGGACTGGGACTGGACACACCAGGCTGGACCAGACCTCAGCACTGTCTGAGTAAGGGTCAAGCCAGGTTTGGTTGCGATAAAAACCAGTCCACACTACAGAATGCCAGGATGAGGTTGACTGTGCCGGATGTGACTGCAGTGCCCATCCAGCACACGTGAAAAACAGGAAGGGAGGGGACAGAGCCAGCAGGGGAATAAGGGGTGGTTCCCCTGCTGGACATCTACTCCCACTGGAGAGCTTGAGCTGGGATGGGGGCAGACCAGACTAAGCAGGGCTACAACACCTTTGCGCCTCATGTGGACTAGATCAGGGAAAAGCCAGGATGGGTGGATTGTTCCTATGGGTGCAACCTACAATTAGAATGGGAGCTGTTTGGGCATAGCCGTAGCATCAGCTGGCAGAAACTGGTGCTGGGGGCTAATCCTGTCAAGTTAAACTGCAGAACCACCTGGAAAGTGCACAATCCGGGAGTGAGAGACCTGGGAGGGAAACAGTGGGTTCCCCCCTCTTGGGTTACCACTCCCACGGGAGGGCACGAGAACTAGGACAGGGGCTGAGGTAGCTAGACAGAGAGGCACTCAACCACACCCGTGAAGGCTTGACTGTTGAGCTGGTTAGATGGATCCAAGCTTCAATGCCATTTGCCATGTACGAGAGCCAGGGGGAATGTGGGACAGATTGGACATCTGTGCCACATATTGGCAAACCAGGGTAGGGGGTGGGCCTGGTGGGGGTTATTGTGGGCTGCTCTCATCAGGATGCAGCTCCCACTGGTTTCGGTGAAGACCAAGTATGTGCTGTGCAGAACCAGGTTGGACTGCAACACCCATTGGTTCCAGTAGAAGGCGGGGCTGAAAACAGAACCAACCCAGCAATTGCAACTACCAGTTGACCGGCTGATGGACTGTGCTGGGCCCTGTGTTTGCTGGTGCATACAAGTATCTGGCCTGGGAACACCTCAGACGAAGTTTCTTTGGTGATCTCCCCAATTGGAATGCCAGACTGAGAACCCTAACCATGAAGGGACAGAAGATGGAACAAGTTGATCAACCACCACAGCTGTAGGTTGGCAACAAAATACCGGGCAAATAGAGATGCTATGATGGACAATGTCAATTAATGGATTTTTCAACAACCTCATCAGGTTTGGAGAGGCAAGATTGGCAGCAATTTCAAAACTGGTGACCTATTGAAACCACTTCAATGAGTATCTTGGAGCATGCCCCACATGCGGGACTTGGGGTGGGTGGGAAACCGGGTGGGGCTTCTCCCTCAATATCCCCCTGTACCTCAGATATATGAAGGAAACAATATGGAAATAATAGTCTTACCCACTTTCCTGTAGCCCTTGACCCTTTTTGCCCAAATTAACTATGTAAAGATTGACAAAATTAAAAAATTATTAAAAAAAAGCCTATAGATTTGAGCTCTCCAATATCAATAAACAAAAATGAGTGTACTAATTTCTGAAGCTTCTAAATGTATATGTTACTCTACTCATACAGCAGAGCATTACAAAGCCATCTGTGTTGTTGGTATTTCACTGAGCATTTGCCGTTGCTCGGTACTGTTTCTGCATTTATTCAGTATTACCATATGTTATTATTGCTAGACCAGAGTAGAGCATCAGGCAAGCAGACCTTGCAAGTAGAAGCCAAGATAAACAGTGGGGAATGAAGCTGCTATAACGTTTTGTGGGCAGTAGTTGCAAAATGCTTTTTGAGAGTTATACAGGATAAATGGGAAAGTAGGTCACGCCTTATTTTTTTTAGGTCCTTTTTGTATCCAGCTTTAGAAGTTTGCATACAATAGATGATCAAAGATGACAGATTCTATGGAAATTTTAAAATTTAAATATCTTAAGCAGTTTTGTATTTTTATCTGTTACCTGTGATGGGAATTTTTTTTTAACTATTAGTGATATTAAAAAATTTTATTATTTGAAAAGCAGAATTACAAAGAGAAAGAGAAAGGTATAAAGAGAAAAGACCTTCTGTCTGTTGGTGCACTTCCAAAATGGTGGCAACAGCCAGGGCGAGGCCGGGCTGAAGCCAGAAGCCAGGAGTTTCATCCGGATCTCCGTGTGGGTTAGGGGACCTAATCATTTAAATCATCTGTGCTGCTTTCCCAGGCACACAACCATAGAGTTGGATTGGAAATGGAGCAGCCAGGAGTCAAATGAGGTGTCCATATGTGATGATGGTGACAAAGGCAGTGATTTCACCTGTGCCACAATGCCTGCCACTGTTCATTTCTCCTAAGGGACAGGCCTGTGTGACCAAGAGACATCAATCTCTGGTTTTTGTTTATTCTCATCAAACTTTATACCTAATTGTGGTGAGCCAGTAAACTAGAATTTTGTTTTCCTTTTCTGATTAACTTACTGTTAGCTCACTATTTAGTCACCAATAACAAATTTAACCGTCAACTTAGGAATGTATGGTTTTTATAACCCAGATAAAAGAAAAGAATATGCCGCAAAGTAGTTGATTTTTATAAAATATGAAATAAAAAATTTTAGAAAAGATGACTGTGAGTTGCCTCTTTGAAATGAAAGATATATTGAATATTTATTGTATACTTAGGTAAGATAAAAACTTATTGAGGGACTCTTGAGACTTTGGGAAAAGAACTTAATATATCATTTTAAGTCCTTAATAATAATGATCATTGAAATCATAGTAAATATTAGACTACTGACCTTTCATAGTATACTCATTTCTGTTATCTCACTTTAGGCCCCTTGATTGACTTTTCTTGTCAGAAGCATTAAGCAGTGTCTTGGCCAGCGGTATGTTCGCAGTCATTGCAGTCATGTAAGATGATAGTACCCAGCATGGATATTGTGACATGACAGGTTAAGCACCACTTGCAACAACAGCATCCCACAACGGAGTCAGTTTGAGTCCTGGCTATTCCATTTTCTGTCCAGTTCCCTGCTGATATGCCTAGAAAGGCAGCAAAAGATTGCCCAAGTGCTTGATCCCTTGCCAGCCACATGGAAGACCCAGAAGGAATTCCTAGTAGCCTTGGTTATTTTGGCCATTGGGGAGTGAACTGGTAGACTGAAGATTGTCTCTGTTTTTTTCTGTCTCTTCTCTCTGTGTGTCTTTCAAGTAAGTAAATTAATTTTTAAACTAATGTTATGTTGCCTAGATTGTTACAGTGCAGTGGGTTGAACCATCAGTTGGACTGCCTGTATTCCATATTGGAGTGGCTGGGGTGGATCCCAGCCACTCTTCATTGATTCAGCTTCCTGCTCAAGGTGGCCTAGGTACTAGGTTTCTGCCATCCCTTTGGAAGACCTGCGTGGGATTCCTAGCTCCTGGCTTTGGCTTGGCCCTGCTGCAGCTGCGGCAGCCATCAGGGGAGTAAACACGTCTTTCTCTCTCTGTCTTTTCTTCTCTTGCTTTTTCTGTCCTACTTTACAAAGAAGTAAATACATCTTTTTTTTTTTTTTTTTAAAGAGTCCTTATAGGTGATTAGTGTAGTCTGGTTTATTTTGGGGGTTTTGAATTGTGTAGCTTAATAATATTTCCTTGAGCAATACTAATACTTAAAATTTATGTTTGTAAGGAATATAGTGAGATGCTAAGGCCTTGACTACTTAGATAAATTCTGGCATAATTTCATGTTATGTGAATATTACAGCTATAAAGAATAGGGGCATTTATTAGGCAAAATTCAATTATATTAAATGTTTTTGATTTTTTTTTAGTGATTTACTTATTTTTATTGCAAAGTCAGATATACAGAGAGAAGGAGAAACAGAGAGGAAGACCTTCCATCCGATGATCTACTCCTCGAGTGACCGCAATGGTCAGAGCTGAGCTGATTGATCCAAAGCCAGGAGCCAGGAGGTGCTTTAGGGTCTCCCACACGGGTGCTTTAGGGTCTCAAAGCTTTGGTCCATCCTTGACTGCCCTCCCAGACCACAAGCAGGGAGCTGGATGGGAAGTGGAGCTGCCGGGATTAGAACCAGCGTTTATATGGGATATTGGCACATTCAAGGTGAGAACTTTAGCCACTAGGCCACCGAACCGGTCCCGAATTATATTAAATTTTTAAGAGGATTTGTCTGAATTGGAGTTAGAAAGAGAGAGGGGACAAGAGAGGGAGAGGGAAAGACAGAGAGAAAGGGGTCTTCTATCCACTGGTTCATTGCCCAGTGACCACACAGCTACCACTGGGCCAGGCCAAAGCCAGGAGTCGGGAGGTTCTTCTAGGTCTCTTACAGAGGAGCAGGGAACAAAGGAGTTGGGTCGACTTCTGCTGCTATTCTCAGGCTATTAGCCAGGAGCTGGGTTAGGTGGAGCATCCAGAATATGAAACAGCTCCTGAATGAAATGCTAGCACTGTAGGTGGCAGCTTTACCCACTGTGCCACAGAGCTGAGCCCTGTTACAGTTTTTTACATCTTCACTATTTAAGAAGTAAGTACTGAATTGAATGAGTTCTGATTTTTCCCTTGTGTTCTTTGTTTCAGAAATATGGTTACACACACCTTTCTGCAGGAGAACTGCTTCGTGATGAAAGGAACAACCCAGATTCACAGTATGGTGAACTGATTGAAAAGTACATTAAAGAAGGAAGGATTGTGCCTGTTGAGATAACCATTAGTTTATTAAAGAGGGTAAGGATTACGAATACCAACCAGTTCAAACCAGCAAGGAAAAAGAAAACAAGTCTACCTTTCATTTAAATAATGGAAAAAGCAAAGAGTATTATCCTTTTTTTTTTTTTAAAGATTTATTTATTTTTTTTTTTATTGAAAAGGCAGATTTACAGAGAGAAGCAGAGACAAAGATCTTCCATCTGCTGGTTCACTACCCAGATGGCCGCAATCGCAGGAACAGACCCAGTCTGAAGCCAGGAGCTTCTTCCTGGACTTCAACATAGACGCAGGGTCCCAAGGCTTTGGGCCATTCTCTACTACTTTCTCAAGCCACAAGCAGGGAGCTGGATGGGAAGTAGAACAGCTGGGATGCAAACTGGTCCCTATATAGGATTCCAGCACTCACAGGGGGAGGATCAGCCAGTTGAGCTTTTGCACCAGGCCTAGTATTGACTTTCTTGCTTGTGGATGATGGTCATAGAGTTAGAGAATGGCAGAGCTACAACCTGTTTCACCTTGTTAAGGCTCAGATAAACTTAACACTGGGTTTTGTGCACTTGACCTTTTCTTCCTAACATGCAAATATTCTCCCTTTTCTTTTTCTTCTCTGTACCACCTTTTCATCCCTTCCCCTTTTTTGTTTTTGTTTTCTGTAAGCTTTATTCTTTCAATTGACTTTTTATTTATTTCTTTTTCTTTATTTGAAAGGTAGAGTAACAGAGAAAGAGACAGATCTAGCATTTGGTGGGTTATTTCCCAAAATGCCTACAATAGCCAGATGGAAGTCATGATCCAGGACTCTCACGTGGGTGGCAGGGGACAGCTGCTTATGCTGTTACCTGCTGCCTCCCGAGGAACACAGTATCAGGAGTGGAGCCAGGACTTGAATCTGGTCACTCTGATATGGGTTGAAGTACCTAGGTAGCATCTTAACTGCTATGCCAGACATCTGCTCCCCTCTTTTTCTTTTAACTTTGACCATCGTTAGAGCCTCCTAATTAGTTGTTTAGCCTTTAATCCATCCTTGTCCCTTCTAATTCATCCTACTTGATATAGTCAACAATCTTTCTTTTTCTTAAAAGGTAATATAAGCTTGTTGTTATATTACTTAAAATTCATAAATGGTCCTACACTGCTTCCAGAATGGAATTCTTTTTTTTTTTTTTAAAGATTTATTTTTATTATTTTTTCATTGGAAAGGCGGATATACAGAGAGGAGAGACAGAGAGAGAGGAAGATCTTCCGTCCGATGATTCACTCCCCAAGTGAGCACAACGGGCCGATACTATGCCGATCTGAAGCCAGGAGCCTCTTCCGGGTCTCCCCTGCGGGTGCAGGTTCCCAAAGCTTTGGGCCGTCCTCGACTGCCCTCCCGGGCCATAGGCAGGGAGCTGGAAGGGAAGCGGGGCTGCTGGGATTAGAACCAGCGCCCATATGGGATCCCGGGCGTGCAAGGCGAGGACCTTAACCACTTGCGCCACCACGCCGGGCCCAAGAATGGAATTCTTAATGTGGCTTTGGAAGTTCTTCATTAGTCTTTCCCATCATGTCTTCTACCACTGTCTGCATATGTTCGAAGATTCAGATGTACCAGTGTTGATTCATCAATGCTGCTGCTATGCTTTTTCATTTCTGAGCCTTTATACATATAATTTCCACCCTTTAGAGTAGGGGTAGGAAACATCCAGACTGCAGGCATATAACACCCACAAAATCATTTGGTCTGGCCCTGCTAAGGCAACTGCGGGTTGGAGGGACTTGAAATTCATTATATCTAGAATATAAAACTTTTTAAAAAAGATTAATTTATTTTTATTGGAAAGGCAGATTAGATTTACAGAAAGAAGGAGAAACAGAGAAAGACCTTCCTTGTGATGGTTAACCCCTCAAGTGGCCACAGCTGCTGGAGCTGAGCCAATCTGAAGCCAAGAGCTTCTAGGTCTCCCACATGTGTAGAGGATCCCAAGGCCTTGGACCATCCTCTGCTGCCTTCCCCGGGCCATAAACAGGACACAAACTGGCACTCACGGGATTCTGGTGCTTGCAAGGTGAGGATTTAGCCATTGAGCTATCATGTTAAGCCTATAAGTCTTCATTAAGATTTATTTTTATTAGAAAAGCAAAGTTACAGAGAGAAGGCATACAGAGATCTTCCATCAGCTTATTCACTTCCTGAATGGCCATATCTGTCAGAGCTGGCCTGTTCTGAAGCCAGGAGACAGGAGATTCTGCCAGATCTCTAACATGGGTGCAGGGGCCTTATGTACGTGGGCTGTATTCTGCTGTTTTCCCAGGTGTATTAGCAGGGAGCTGAGTCAGAAGTGGGCAACACATCCCATATGGGATGCCAGCTGCTCTTCTTCCAAACCAAATTCCTGCTGATTTTCTGGTTAAGGCAACAGAAGATCCTCAAGTTATCTGGGCCACTACTACCCATGTGGGAGACCACATGGAGTTTCTATCTCCTAGCCTCAGTCTGGTTTAGCCTTGGCTGTTGTGGAGTGAACCAACTAAACTGAAGATTTCTCTGTTCTTTTTGTTCCTCCCTCTTTTCTCTTTCACTCTGCCTTTCAAAAGAATGAATAAATTTTAAAAGTGTCAGAGGCTGGCATTGTGGCATGAGTGATAGCAGTATTTTGTGCTAGGGCACTGATTGAAGTCTCAGGTGCTCTGCTTTCTATCTTAACTCCCTGAAAAGGTCCTGGGAAAGCAGTGGAAGATGGCTAAAATACTTGAGCCCCTTCACCCACGTAGGAGACCCCAACAGGTTACAGGCTCCTGGCTTCAGCCTGGTCAAACCCCAGGTGTTGCAGACATTTGGGCAGTAAGCCAGGGGATGGAATAGCATTCCATCTTTACTTCTCTCAGTGTTGACCTTCCTTTCAAATAAATAAACAAGCAAATTAATAAATAAATCTTTTAAAAGAATTAATCCTACACTGGTAATTAATACTAACAATGCTTTTATATTTGTGCCGAGCATTTTGCTGTTGGACTTCAGTTATAGCAGAATTAAGTACCCATGGCAGTAGCTTACTTCCTACCACAGTATGACTTGGGAACGGCAAAAGGAAGGCAGCAGGGTTCTTTAGTTTTTGGAGCAAAGATACTGGTTAATGGTTAGTTTTTTCTTACCACTCCTGATTGTTTACTTACAATCTTGTGAATGTTTTAGTATATGTGGAAGTTATATTCTTATTATAGAAATTTTGAAAGCTACAGAAAAGGTTGTATCTGTGTGTAGTATGAGGAGGAGCATGCATCTGTAATCCCACCGTCCTGAGGCAGCTGTGTCAATTTGTTGACTTTGAGTCTACTTTTTTCCTGTGCACCTTTCATTCTAGACTTCTAGTTTAACAAGAGTAATACTTGTAGAACACATGCTCATCTATATATAGCCCTGCTTAAGAAATTATATTTTGCTAATGTCATGTTGAATGTGTTTTATTTTTTTTTTTCTTCTTTAGGAAATGGATCAGACAATGGCTGCCAACGCTCACAAGAACAAATTCTTAATTGACGGATTTCCAAGAAATCAAGACAACCTTCAAGGTTGGAACAAGACCATGGATGGGAAGGCAGATGTGTCTTTTGTTCTGTTTTTTGACTGTAATAATGAGGTAATGAAAAACTCTATCTGCCCATGTAGGCTTTAAACAACTGACGGTCAACTAATAGAGAAAACAAAAAATTTTTAAAAAATATTATATTTACTTTTTATATTGACAGCAGTACTTTTTTGAATTAATACATTGATAGATAGGTCAGTACTTCTTGCTGTTAGAGTATTTAAAGCTGTTTAGCATCAGAACTTTGTGGATTTAAATTTTTTTTTTAAATATTTATTTATTTTTATTGCAAAGTCAGATATACAGAGAGGAGGAGAGACAGAGGAAGATTTTCTGTCTGATGATTCACTCCCCAGGTGGCCACAACAGCCGGAGCTATACCCATCTGAAGCCAGGAGCCAGGAGCCAGGAGCTTCTTCCAAGTCTCCCACGCAGATGCAGGGTCCCAAGGCCTTGGGCCATCCTTGCCTGCTTTCCCAGGCCTCAAGCACGGAGCTGGATGGGAAGAGGGGCCGTTGGGATTAGAACTGGTGCCCATATGGGATGGTGGCACATGCAAGGCAAGGACTTTAGCTACTATGCTACTGCACTGGGCCCCTGCTTTATTTTTTAAAATAAGAATCATTTAGAAGTATGTATTAACATAAAAATAATATTAGATAATGAAATAGAGCCATTTTCTTCAGTATGTAGTTTTATCAGAGAGTGTTTTGCCTTAAGATGTCGTCTATTGGAAAAGAAATATATTTCTGGGAAGTTGGTAATCTTTCTATGTGAAAGATTTCTCTTATAGAGTAAAATGATCTGTAACAAAGCAAAAGAATGTTCTTTTTCTTTTTGATATTTCTCCTAACACAGAATTACCTATACATAACTAAATGGATTTCTTGGAACCATTTAATTAAAAGGCCTCTTTGGGTGCTGTAATATAAATTTTGTTATATTACTGTCTACAGCCTAAACAAATATGAATCTAAGGTAGTGCCTTAAGGGAAGCTGGCTATTCTTAGGTTGAGTTATAAATGTTCCTCTGGTGGACTTGTTGCAGCCTGTGAGTTGTAAAATGCAGTTCTTTTCTTCCAACCCCCAAAAATATGTTTTCACTTATTCTTCAAAGTCAACTGTAGAATGTTACCACAGCTTTATAACTGAGGAATGTTTACTCACAATTAACAAGGGATGCTTCATTCAAATGCAAATATGTTGACTCTTAAACATTTGGATATTTATGGAATTATCAAAAAGTAGGCAAAAATGGAACCAAGTTTGAGGCATGTAATTCATACCTAATAAGTTAATAACATATCCAAGATGGAACCAGACACATACTGATCTTTTTATTGCGGTTTGAAAAAATATTCATAGGAAAAACTGAGTCATGAATGAATTCTTACTATGCTCTGTACTTATTTAACCTAGTTTATATAAATTAAACCACATGTTTATGTTTTTAAAAATTTTTGCATGTTGATTAATAAATAAGACATTGGGTTTAATGTGGGTTTTTTTTCTTTTTGTAATCTCCTCAAACATTATTTTTCTTACCTGGTTAACAGAATGTTAAATTCACCATTTTTAAAGTAACTTTGTATGTGTCTCTCTTTTAGATCTGTATTGAAAGATGTCTTGAGAGAGGAAAGAGTAGTGGCAGGAGTGATGACAACAGAGAGAGCTTGGAAAAGAGGTACTTGGCAGTTTTTCTTTTGACCCCCTAAATCCCAAAGTGGAACTCAAGTGTCACATTAATTCCTGCCCAGTTTTGGTCCAGAGAAGAAAATATCCTGCTGAAATAAGTGAAATCACTTGTGTAAGGAGATGAGGAGTGAGCCGTGGGTCAGGCTGGGCGCTCTCTGAGAGAAAGGATGTTTCCTAGAACACTGCAACATTTGCTTCTTTTACAGAATTCAGACTTATCTTCAATCAACAAAGCCAATTATTGACTTATATGAAGAAATGGGGAAAGTCAAGAAAATAGATGCCTCTAAATCTGTTGATGAAGTGAGTGCCCTTGCCTTCCTTGGTGGGGAGGGAGAGGGGTAGGCAAAAAGTCAAGTAAAAATGTGATTATTTCTTTTGTGGTAGGCAGGAGAAAAAGAGATACTGTGACAGATTGGTTAGCTTTTGTTTTTGCTTTTTAAAGATTTATTTATTTTACTTTGAAGAGTTACAGAGAGAGTGAGAGAGAGTGATTTTCCATCTGCTGGTTTGCTCCTGAAATGGCTACAATGTCTGGAGCTGTCTGGTCTGAGGCTGGCGGCCAGGAGCTTCTTCTGGGTCTCCTACATGGGTGCAGGGGCTCAAGGCCTTGGGCCATCCTCTACTGTTTTCCCAGGCCACAAGCAGGGAATTGGATTAGAAGTGGAGCAGCTGGAACTAGAACCAGCAGCTATCTGGGATGCCAGCATTACAGGCAGATTAGCTTGCTGTACCGCTATATTGACCCCAAATTGGTTAGTTTTTTTGAGACATGTAAGAGTTAATTAAATCAGATTTTTCTCCTTTTTAAGTCTGAAATGGGTTTTACAAATTCAGACAATTTTTTCATGGAACTGGATAGTTTATTAATGCCAAGCCTCTTTTACCAAGTCCTGGAAAATTGATACTTTGAGTACTATGATTTGGATCATGCTCATTCTCTAAAATCTGCAGCAGGAATGGCATGGCATTCATTTCAGGATCCCCCGTACTTCTCTTCTCTTCTATCCCAGATCGCATTACTCCAGTGTGGCAGGGTTTCCATAACTTACTGCATCGCTTCCTTCCTAATCAGTGATCTCTAAAGTACAAGCCCATGGTGACAGTAACGATTTCTTGTGTCTCTTAACTTACCTAATCTTCATTTCTCTGATTTCCTGATTCTCCTTCCTTTTATATTAATATAAAAAAGAAAGATCTTGAGGAAGGATTCAGTCTTTTTTAATCCATTGCCACTTTCTGTAGAGATAAAGTAATGCCTGAGAAAACTTAGTGTTTTAGAATCAGAACTAAGATGAGCCAGTTCAGTTTGTATTTTATCAGATTTTTGGTACCCTGTCACAAAATGTTATTCTAAGAACAATGCTAAAAGTGGATGCTGCACATTCTTAATGTTATATGTATATATGTAAAGTAAAATATATAAGAAATTAAATTTGAAATTTTACAGAAAATTGATTATTCTCAACAGAAACTTAGCTCTATAGTATTTTAATAACATCTTCTTTTAAAATTGTCCTTTTCCATTCCAGGTTTTTGATGAAGTTGTGAAAATTTTTGACAAAGAAGGCTAACTCTAAACCTGGAGGCCTTGTTGAAATCATGCTTGAATATTGCTTTGATAGCTGCTATCACAAATTCTTTTGAAGGCAATTTTAATCTTTCAAAATTACATCTCAAATTAATGGCTGGAAAGTGTTATAGTTAAAGGCAAATTAAATTTTTATGTTCATTTTATTTTGGTTACAGGACTAGACAGTGAATTCAGGTTTAACTTAGTTATGGTGCTCACAAAACAAAGAAGGATATCAGCTAGTCCTTTGTTTTTATTCAAAGAAGAATATCCCTTTTATAGTCTGTGCCTTCTGTGAGCAGGCTTTTTAAATATGCATGTTTAGTAATTACTACATGTTACAATTTAGGATTCCCACTTCCTGTTTTCTTGCAGGTTTTAAATTTCCAATCTGTTCAGTAAATTTGTGGACCAAATTTCAAAGGGACTCTTTAGTCAGACCTTGTACAGTGTGCTTAGTAATTAAACTCATAAATGGATTCCTACCAGTGTTTTAAGATTTATCAAATAACTGACCATTTGCTATAGAAAGGTAAGAAAGTTTAGGCTTTGTTTTATTATAACTTGTACAGAGTTGTATGACAGAGCATATTCTTTGCTTCCAGGAATTGGATTGGGATCCTGGGGGTTCAGAGCCTGGCAGAGTTATCAGCTTTATTCTGATATAATCTGAGTATGGGGCAAGGTCCACTTCTAATGGCTTGTGTTCCTTGTGTTCTGTGATGTCGTGTTCATGATCAAATGGAGCTTACCAAAATTCCCGATGGTGGAACCTTGACATGCCATGTTCTAAGTTAATGCTAACGCAGTTCAGTTCACATTTTAGTTAACTCTTCAAGGTTTGTGTTTGTAGTCTATACTCAATGTAGGGCTAGGGAAAATTAGAAGAAGCAATCTAAAGGTTAAAGCTCCCATTTACATTTTATTTTCTTGAGTACTTTTGCATAGATTTTTGTTGAAGAAAATTTAAAAATCATTGCACTTTGATCAGAAAAATAATAAATATATCTTATATGTCTGATTCCCTTCTTTGCTTCTTTTATTCAGTAAGTTATTTTTGGCATCATGCTGAAGCATTGAAAGGTACAAAGTTTTTAAAAGGTTGTAAAGTCTGAAGGAGTTTTCTTTTACATTCTTCCTTTCAAATTTCTGAGAAAGTTTTTTGTTTTCCCTCTAATGCTAAGTGACATCCGAGGTTGTTAATAGGAAATTTCTGAAAATGTTTTTCATTTTCAGCATTTGCAGTGCTTGGTACACAGGGTTAAATAGGGCAAAGGATTTTGTCCTTGTATAATTAGATTTTATATTTAGAATAATTGGGAATAATAAGGACAAATTAATTGATATTCTTACATTTGTAGCAGTCATTTATTTCTGTGTTAGGAATTTTGCTTATATATGATAAATTTCTCATCTTTCCATGAGAAAAAAGATACTCCTGAGTACTGCAACATGCTGGCCACCGAAATTTGTGTTGATGATCTGAGTTCTTGGAAAGGTTGTAATGAGTTCTTAGTGCAGTGTTGCAGTCCACCCGGTGCAGATAGGTTTTATTGGTGATGAGTCAAACAGCTGCAACATGAAGCAAGCGTAAAGATGAAGGTTTTGAGAGCATTCCTACTCACATAAGTAAGGAAATCTGTCAAATGTGAGTCTAAATATTTATACTGATGTGAGAATAACCTTCACATTTTGAAGAAGACTGCTGGTACTAGGTGCTTTCATCAGATAGACCAGAAACCAAGAAACAAGGTAATTACTAAATTACAAGGCTTTGTTTTGTGTTTGCTTTTAAGTAGAAAAACCTGTTGGCAATATTGAACGTTGCAGTTGATTGAGATACATCTGACTTTGTTAGTTTGGTCATTCCATTTGTTAAAGATACAGTCACTAAGAAGTTTTTGAGTTTTTCATGATAGAACCTTCTTTGATTATTGCCATTTAAAAAAATTAAAAGTTAACATTATTTCTTTTCAGTGATGTTGGATGTATATGGATTATTTAGTAAATATCAATAAATTTTGTGTCATGGCCTTTTTTATTTGCTGATTTAGATTTGTGTTTTCTTTAGCTTGTTCAAGATCAAGATGTGTTAAATTTAACATGTTAAGTCCTCATGTAATACAATCCCAGTAGAGGATACAGGAGAATTTTCTACTCCGTGTATTGTTTGTGCATGACTATCCCATTCCTTCAAGAAGTAATCTGGACTGAGGCACAAGTGGTTTATTTTTTTACCTGCCGTAAGCATCAATCGTTTGTCTACTAAGGGAAACTGACAGCAAGTAGATGTGTCAGATGTGTCAGATGGGGGCCCTGTGGGTCTTGCTAATTGTGGTGGTTACCAGAGGTTCTTGTGGGCCCTGAAGGTAATTGTGGCTGAGGGTATCAGCCAGAGGATTTAGCATCTTTTTCCTGTGATACAGAGCTTCCTTTCCAAATGTATACTATTGCACAGCCATAATGCAAAGACACATTTTCTGACATCCGTAAGTTTTTTGTTTGTAACACTGGTATGAATAGACCTTCAGGTATCTTTTGTTGATTAATTTCAGGCAATCCCCCCCAGTATGATGCCTCAGTGCCTTGCATGCGCCGGGATCCTACATGGGCAACTCATGTCCTGGCTGCTCCACTTCCCATCCAGCTCTTTGCTTGTGGTCTGGAAAGCACTAGAGAATGACCCAAAGCCTTGGGCCCCTGTACCCACGTGGGAGAACCCAGAAGAAGAGCTTGGCTCCTAGCTTTGAACTGGCACAGCTCTGGTTCTTGGCAGCTATTTGGAGAACCAATGGATGGAAAATCTTTTGCTCTCCTCTTTGTAAATCTGCCTTTCAAAAAAAATATTTTAAAGGCAGAGCTATAGAGAGGGAGGGAAAGACAGAGACTGATTTTTCATCTGCTGGTTCACTCTCTAAATGGCTGCAACAGCTTGTGTCAGATTGGAACCAGGAGTCTGAAGCAGGTTTAGGGGTCCAAAACTTGAGCTGTTTGCCTCTTTTTTCCCAAGCGAATTTGCGGGGAGCTGTGTTGGAAGTAGAGCCAGTTGATGGGTGACGTCTTAACCCTGAAATGCCACAGCATCAGTCCCAGTTTCAGACATTCTTGCATAGTCTGTTTTGTTTCTTCCTAACCCACCTACATACTTTAAAAAAATATTTTATTTTTATTTGAGAAATAATTAGGAGAAAGAGACTTCAGTCTGCGGTTCACTCCCAAAGTGGCCTCAATGAATTTCTTCCAAGTCTCCCCATGTGGTTGCAGGGATTCAAGGACTTAAGCCAAGCTGCACTGCTTTCCCAGGGCATAAGCAAAGGGCTGGATGGGAAGTGAAGCAGCCAGAACACAAAATGGCGCCCACTGGGTATGTGGGTGTTGCATGTGGGAGATTAGCCTGCCCCCTGCCCTGTTCCCTTAGTTCTTAATTCTGAACTTTTTTTTAAAATTGCAAAGTCAGATACACAGAGAGGAGGATAGACAGAAAGATCTTCCGTCTAAAGATTCACTCCCCAAGTAACTGCAACGGCCAGTGCGTGCCGATCCAAAGCCAGGAGCCAGGAACTTCTTCCAGGTCTCCCACACGGGTGCAGGGTCCCACGGCTTTGGGCTGTCCTCGACCACCTTCCCAGGCCATAAGCAGGGAGCTGGATGGGAAGTAGAGCTGCCGGGATTAGAACCAGTGCCCATGTGGGATCCTATTGAGTTCAAGGCAAGGACTTTAGCCGCACTGGGCCCCTGAACGTTTTGTAAATGACAAAATAAGCACACTTTTGTATGAAAGAGAAATGGAAAGAACTGTCCTGGTTATGGATCCCTCTACTTCCTTAGCCTTGGCTCAGCGTAACCCTTCTTGATCCAGGTGTGCTTTCTTGTGGGTGGTGAGGTAGTAAGACCCTTGAGTAGACAAGTAGGATTTGGTTGAATCTGTTTCTATTTCATGCATGATGGCTCCTTTAGGGAGTTACTGTACTCCACTAAAATTTATCCACCAGTCCCATAATCACAAATCACATTCCCATTCCCCTAAATGAATATTTTGTTGATTAGAATGGGTTTCAGAATTGTGACTTCCATAACCAATATTTTCATTTATCTTTAATTTGTGGTTTGAATAATCTTACAGATTTTTCTGATTTTTACATATTTGACTTAAAAAAAAGTGTTTATCTCGTCAGTTATATCATTTTTTAAAAAATCTCCTACATGCTTTATTGGACTTCAAAGAGTCTTATGAATTAACACAGAAAAACCCATGTGAGGTTTCCAGAGAGTACAAGGCAGTCTGCAGCCCAGCACCCTCTGAAAACCAGCCCCAGGTGCACCCACTCCAGACCCAAAAAAAGGATCCCAGGGTAAAGGCATGGCAGGGAGCGGGGCAGAGGGAAAATACCTTTACGGCCATAGCAAAAACAGGTAAGGGAGAGTTGGCTAGAGGAACGGGAAAGGGAAGTAACACAGCCACCTTCACCTACACGAGATTCCTTAGACACCCCTTCCCCAAACCAACTGTGTCACTTTAAGCCTCTGGCCCAGGCTATGCAGTAACATAAAAATGGGGTCTGACAAGAGGAGTATGTGGTGCAGGCACTTGGGAAATTCAGGATATTTCTTTTCTTACATTTAAACTCTATCTTTTGGCTCAAAAGCAACATACCCAGGAGCTCCTTCACAGCCCTGTGTCACAGATACGGACTTCATGCCAGGGGAGCCAATACTCTGAGTATTGATTCTGGGGGAGCTTTACGGCAGCACCTCTTAGAGACAAACCCTTCTGCAGTATGGCAGAGCAGGGGTAGAGGGAGGCAGGAGTGGGCAGGAAAACAAAGGGTGACTGCCTCATAGCCTACTGCTCTGGCATCCACTAACCAAAGCACGTCTTCCCAATGCAGTCTCAAGCCAAGCCTCTCAAAATTCTCTGGTGGTTTGTTCTCTGAGAATTGCTTTCACTCTCCCATGGGTGCTGGGAGGCCTAAGTGAGCTCCAAGATGAGGTTCTAGCTTTGGCCCACCACACTCCTGAAGAACAAATCCCAAAGGTTAGGCCCTAGGTCCCAGTCTGTGGCAAAAGAAACCACTGAGGGTGGGGTGGTTCAGATCGGAGGCACAGAGGTCCAGTTATATCATTTTTATATGATGGTTCACAGATTATGGCTAATTAGTGAAATAAACGCTGGCATTATAGGCCTGATCATAGTCTGGAATCACATTTTTTGCAAGGGTTTGCTGTCTTACATTAGCTAACTGGTCACCAGCAAGCCACTTCTCAAAGCTGCTGACCCCCTGACTGGTCTCCAAGTGTTTGTTACAGGTCAGATATTTTGCTAGGTAGTGTATGTGTCACTGACTAGTGTGTTACAATAATGCCAAAATGACCATGTTAGAAAAAGTGGCTGGCCATTCATTCAAAATGTTGGAGAACTTAAGATACAACAACCGCTGCCCTCATCAGCCTGCATAGATAAACTGAAAGCTGGTGGCTCCTTCACTGTATTGTGTTTCTGTATAGTGCTTTCAGTGCCCGCAGACTTTCTTAGCGCTGTGATCTCATTTTGGTTTTCTAACAAGTCTGAGGTAGGTCGCAGTAGTGATTCTTCTGTTTGATGGATGATTAAACAAAGGCCTCAAATGTCCGAGTCAGTTGCCCACAGTCTGTATAGCTTAGAACTCTGGGTTTGGAACTGGACCCAGAAATGTGTGCCTCCCCAGATCTGCCTGCCATCTTTCTAACAGCCCCTGCTGCCTACCTGGAACAAGGTGGGTCCTCTAGTCAGCAACACACACACAGCCACAAATAGACACACACCATGCCATGCCACCTGGACAAGGTGGGTCCCTCTAGCCAGCAACACACACACACATACACACACACAGCCACACATACACACACCATGCCATGCCACTTGGACAAGGTGGGTCCTTCTAGCCAGCAACACACACACACACAGCTACACATAGACACACCACGCCATGCCAGTCCTGGAACAAGGTGGGTCCTCTAACACACACACACCCCGCCCCGCCCCTCTTCCTCACCAGCCAGGCCAGTTACCCTCATTTATGTTCGTTATTGCTCATATCACCATGTGTTGTGACTTACTGTGTTTACTTATTGTTAATCTCCCTCACTAGATTTTAAGTGCCAGGAATCAGAAATGTCTTTCCTATTCATTACTGTTTCTCAGTGCCTTGATGAGTGCCCACACATAGTAGGCACCCAACAAATATTTGTTCAAAGAATAAGTTAAAATTACATCTGGCAGTATCTATAGTTAGAATCTGTGCCATTGCACATAGAATGACCACCTTAGGATTCTGTTTTCCTGTGTGCTGAAGATTAGGAACTGATAGGGAAGATAAAATTTTTCCATCAGCTGACACCCTCTTTCAGCATGTGACTCATAGAAAGACTTAGAAAGTGACTGTCAGGGCCAGTGCTGTGGCATAGTGCATAAGGCCTTTGATGCCGTCATCCCATATGGCTGCCGGTTCAGGTCCTAACTGCTGCACTTCAGATCTAGCTCCTGTAATACCCCTGGGAAAGCAGCAGAAAATGGCCCAAGTACCTGGGCCTCTACACACATGTGGGAGACCTAGAAGAAGCTCCTGGCTTAGGATTGGCCCACCTCTAGCCCTTACAGCTATTTGTGGATGGAAGACCTTTCTGTTTCTAACTCTGCTTTCCAAATAACATCTTTAAAAAAGCGGGGAGGGAGGGGAGAAGTGATTACCTGAGGGGGTAATTGGATGAAAATATTCAGTTGTTCACACATATTTCGAGTACCTACTTTAAAGTCACTTTGTTAGAGCATGGAAATGCCAGCTTTATGGAAGACTGACAACTGGTTCATGATAGGTCTGAAGCCACTTAGGCTACATTTGAAGCCTTGAAAGATGAACGGCATCCTTCACACTTTCAACAGCAGCTATACGAATTAAACTGGGAAAGAACAAAGTGAGGTGCTTTTGGCCTGCTTTCTCCTTTGGTTTTAAACAGATTTATTTTAGAGACATTTTCTACAC